TATATAGTATATAAGCCATATTCGATAGTATACATCTTAAGATATACTATATATATCTTAAGATGTATATATAGTATATAAAGATGTATTTATAGTATAATATAGTATAGTATATATATATATATATATATAATATACTATACTGTATATACATCTTAAGATATATAAGCTATAATCGATTTATATACTATATATATATATATATATATATATATATATAAGCTTATATATATACTATACTATACTATATATTCGATATATTCAATATATATACATATCTTAAGATGTATATATATAGTATATATCTATATATATCGAATATAGCTTATATATATACTATATATACATCTTAAGATATATGCTATACACTTAGTATATATATATAAGATGTACATATAGTATAGTATAGTATGTATATATATATATAAACTATATTCGATATAAGATGTATATATAGTATAGTATATATATATATATATAAGCTATATATATAAGAAAAAGTGTAATTATAAAAAAAATGGGGTTAAAACAAAGTTGGGGGGCTAAATGCCTATTTATAAATAGCCAAAGGCTATTTTGACAGGTAAAACGGCCATATTTTAAATGCCATAAAGACTATAATGTGTCAGATTTTTTTTAAAAAAAACTAGTCATTGGGCCCGGATAGGCCCGTTTAGGACCGCTTGAACCGGCCCACTTCCCAGCCAGTCCCGGTCTCGCGGGCCTCGCCTATGGGACCGGCCCACTACCCAGCCCACCTCCCCACGGTCCCGGTCCTATCCGGTTAGAACCGTTTAGGCCCACTGCCCATTTGGGCTTGCGGTCCTGGGCCGGGGCCGGTCCTAACCGGCCCACATGCCACCCTTAAGATAAGTCAGTCCTTAAAACTGCATTTGTGTCAGTTAACTACCAATTAACAACTTTTTCTGAAGGAGAGTACAACTTTTTAAGTTAGAATCTTCTAGAATAAGAATATAATACTAACCGCAGATCGCTTTCCACTCTTCTCATCATTGAGCAGGTTCCGGATGGGGAAGTAGGCAGCTTTTTTACAAAGCTCAAGAAGATCTGAACCAGTGTATCCATCACACAAACTAGCAATGCGGTCATAGTCAATGTTATCTTGTACCTTCTCGCCCTTCAGGATAACCTTCAAAATCTCAGCTCTCTCTTTGCAGTCAGGCATACCGATCTCAAAGGCCTGAGGAAGGCGTCGAAGAATTGCTTCATCAAGCTCAGATGGCCGATTAGTAGCAGCAAGTACCATAACCCGGGCATTATCTACATAAGCACTATCTCAGTAAATAGTCACAAAATTTTCTTCCTAGACCACATTAACTAGCTAAAAGACATGATCATCTCAAATTGCACAACTTGCTGATAAAGTTTTGCAGCAAATGAGTGGTGATTGGTGAATGAAAGCTACTAATAAGTAAATCATCTCATTAAGGAGTGAACCTACGATCTGTGGTAAAACCATCCCATAAAGCCATGAATTCAGTCTTCATGTTTGCTAATGCCTCATTGTCAGTAGCCTTGCGCTGACCCAAAAAGCTGTCCACTTCGTCAATGAATATGATTGCTGGCTGAAGCTTATACGCCAAACTAAACAAAGCGGAAACTGTAAAGATTTCAGAAGCATATATCAATGAAGAAGTCTAACATCAAGTCGAATATTAAGTCTATGCTAAACCAACTTTAAGTCACTTAACTCAAATCAGTAACACGAGCAATCACCAAAAAAAAAATCAAACCAAGAGCATCCAATACTAGTTACGCTTTAAGGGTTTATAATACCTCACCCGAGGAGAGGGGGGGCAGAGTGTTTATTCTTAAGAATTTCTAGGTAAAGTTTTTATGCATCCAGTTTTATAACGTAACTAGACCAAAGAATCTCCCTGGAAACCACAATCGAGCCTCATGTCAGGCCAAAAACTCCCTGTACTTTGCTCCTTGGCTTCAGTGCAACAGGGGTGCCTATGGTGTGGAAGTTCAACTATTTCCATGAAATGACATCACAGGGAGCAAATTCTGAGGATTTTCACATGAATTATCATGAGATCACGTTCGCTCATCTGAGACTTGATGAAGAAGCACACATAATCTGTTGACCAATTACTTGCAACAAGAAAACATATGGAGCCAAATGTCACACAATTACTTGCAACAAGAAAACATATGTAGCCAAATGTCACATACACTTGAATCTATTTTATAGGAACTCTTAGTTTTATTCTTTTAGTCTAACAACAACAACAACAAAAAACCCAGTGTAATCCCACAAGTGGGGTCTGGGAAGGTTAGTGTATACGCAGACCTTACCCCTACCTTGAGAAGGTAGAGAGGTTGTTTCCGGTAGACCCTCAATTCCGGAAAGAGAAAAAGGAAGGGAGTAACAACAAGCAGCAACACCAGCAAAACCAATCAGAGAACCGAAGCGGAAAAAAAAAAACAAGTAATAATAGACATCTAAGAATAAGAAAATATAAGACTAACACTAAGTAGTACACTAATACTACTGATATGAACAAGGAAAACGCTCGGCTAGCTAAACTTCTACCTTAATTCTTGACCTCCACACCTTCCTATCAAGGGCCATATCCTCTGTGCTGGAGCAAAAGAATTGTTGTTGTAGTCTAACAAAAGAATTCTCATAATTCAAAAATTGTCTCGGACAAAAAAAAAGTTTGTGATTCATATGATCATACAGTTCATATGATCATACAGAAGTTGAATTGACCTTAAAAATAAAATATTTACACACTTGTCGCCATTTCAAACTAGGAAAACAAATAGTCCCAAAACATTGGAAACCTAAAATACGACAAAAGGATTTATTAACTGTATCCTAGTATCTTTATATCAGATTTTACTTGTATCCAAGATTTCGAGAGAGAAAAGTTTTGACACCTTAGACATGGTATAATCCATATTTATTCTGCAGTGGACTGAAGGTTCCCTTTTTTTTTTTTGGGGGGGGGGGGGAATAAATAGTCCTCGGTAGACTGAAGATTGATTAAAAGAAGCCCTGAAATCATCTAATTCCCAAGAACTGGTTCTCACAATCAACATCCCATGAAGTCCTCGGAATTCTAGAAGAATTGTTCAACAGTTATATGCCAAATTGTAGTTTTGCTAGCCCTCAGTAAAATTTCCACACTAGAAAGTGGTAATTCAATCTTGGCACTTTTTGTTATAAATCAAATTGATTCCTGCACTTACATAATCACCATATACAAGCATCATTCTTCAGCAATTACCTAAGCAACAATTCAATATTTTGGCCAAAATATAAGCATCATTCTTCAACAATTACCTAAGCGATAATTCAATATTTTTGGACAAAACTATCATACATAAAATTTTAATAGCGCTTCTAAATTTTCCTACCAACACCGGCAACTTCCATATTTTGGCCATTGAAGAACTGGCACAAATTCCCTCTCTACGCTCCTCGTTTTTCTCTCAATGCCCAGTTTCTGCCGTCGTCAACCCCGGTGATTTTGGTGAAGGAAAATCGAAGGGATCTTCTAGTGATGTTTAAGTGTGCGTATTCGTCCTTCAATGTGGTGGAGTGTATGTGGTCTCCGTTGTGTTCTCTATTCGTGGGTTTATTAAGGAAGAGGACTTGGTGGTTTTCTTTGGTTTAAACACGAAGATGCTACTGAAACCATTTTTTTTGCTACTGAAACCATACCTGACCACTAAGCTTATATGTATCAATCAACATCCATCAAAAATTAGTTGAAGTCAGCTACATGAATCCTCTGTATCTTTCGCCCTCTTTAGGTCCATTCCATTCGAAAACTAAATAGAGTATCTTTCACAACATTTTATGTAATTTTACAACTGTCAACCTACCGCAGCCCACCTTACTAATCAAGTGCTCTCACCTCTCACTAAACTCTCCATACCATCTTTTTCCTTCATAACTCCCTCTTTTCCAAAAATGCGACAATGTTGAGGGAGACAAATTTTGGTGTATTTGGGAGGAGAGAAATCTAATTTGCTTTGAGGAAATCATTACTGCCATATATGTGCTAAAGGCTACATGTCTAGAGAATCTTTTTTGTTGGTGTAGACTTGAACATGTAAATAGTGTTGATCAATTCTTGGATTTGTTAACTCCTTAAATTACATAAAGTGATTAAAGGAACACCTGTACATGAGCTATTTTTTGCTAAGATGTTTTAACTTTTAGCATCTACTGGATGCCATTTAATGGAAGTTCTCATTTACCTGATAAAAAACATCAGGAAAAAAAAAACACAATGCTGAGGTCACCATCAAACGTTACTCATGCTAGGTAATTCACACTCTTCTCTATATGTTTTTGTTCTTCCCCTCTAGCCTCAAGCTGTCTCACACTCTCCCTCTTTCCAACTTAGGTGGACGCTCAAAATTCAACTAAGCCAAACAAGAGCATTTGTAGATTTGAGATATGTTGCACCTCATAACGGTAGACAGAAATCCGTCATTGGCTTCTTTCAACCATTGTACTAGAATCTTCCAGCCGAAAGATGAACGGGAGAATACCATATGGTGTCTTCTAAATTGTCCTATAAGAAGTGTAGGACAGGAAATCTGATAAAGGCAACCTCTTCAACTTCACTAAATTTGCTTCTGGTTTGAATAATCTATAATTCTCATTCCTATTCCTAAAATTCAGAAGTGAAGCATCCACTTAAAGTTTTTCTATCACTACAATCATTGTATTAACAAATTTCAGATCCCTTGTGCTGCGCAAGCATGGATTTTAGATGCTGATTCCAGAATTTTGCGGCAAGAAAATTGTTTGAAACTTGCTAGAACTGGAAAGAATTTTGAAACTGCCAAAACAAATTGTAACTGCCCAACTGAAGTTAGCCAATCCTAGTAGAGTATGTTCAATTTGAATTCTTGATTTCAAAAACCACCAATGACAGTTCGGTTTAAGATTTTAGGCAAAGAGTGCCCATTCACATCAGGAATAGAGGCCGTTAAGGATATAGTTGCTTGTAAATTTCTTTTCTAAATCGAGATTGGATTGATGTTCAGTATACTTCAAAATATGATCACTCAGGAAAAACTGTGCACACCCTACTCTTTACCCTACTCAACAAGAACAAAACAAAATAAGCAAAAGCACCGTATTATGGCCCAAAAACAAATTCAACTGAAAGAGAGATATCTCTAAAAATGCAGATCAATAACTTGTAAACTTTACATGCACATAATAAATGCAATCTAAGCTTAGCCACAGAGACTTGAAATCATGATTTTTATCACCTGGACAACTTCATTTGAACAAGATAATACCAAACAGAAAAATCACTAACACGATCTTCAGAGGACTGGACAAAACTAAACAACTCTTCCCATGATCAATTTTAACCCCACCCCTCACCCCCAAAAAAGAGTACTCCGTAATAATTAAGTTGCAAATAAACACTAGGTTATCTTGATATCTTACTCGCGGTCAAATAATGCTTGTTAATCTGAATAACAACTGAGAGTACAAGAAGGGCTAAGCAAACGTAAATAATCAAACAACACATCTAAGAAAATATAATGCTGAAAAAGAATCTTGAAAGAGTAAAAATAAGATCCAACTCACCCAGCTTTTGGGCATCACCAAACCATTTGCTCATCAGATTCGATATTTTCACATTAATAAAAACAGCACCTGACTCTTTAGCAATTGCTTTGGCAAGCATGGTCTTTCCAGTGCCAGGCGGTCCATAGAGCAACACTCCTTTTTGAGGACCCAGAAGTTTCCCAGAAAAGAGTTCAGGCCTCCTCAGGGGAAGTATTACCAATTCATATAGAGCTTGCTTAATAGATTCCAATCCACCAATTGAATCAAATTCCACATCTATATGATCAGGGTTAATCACATCACAGGCTATTATATCCTGTTGAAGCAAAGCACAAAGGGGTTCAAATAATTCAATATGAAAACGATCATTTTTTACTGCAGGTTCCTAGCATGTGTAAAATATTCGCACCAACAAAGAAATATAGCATCTAAATGAATAAATCATGTAGGTTATAATCAATTTCTAATACAGCCTTGTGAAACAAGGTATTGGAAGGGTAAGAAGCTCTATAAGGAAGTGATCATAGTAGACAAGCACACATATTTGAACCCTATACACCAAGGAATATCAAATTAAAATGACTTCCATCAGCTTTAACCAAACTGAGCTAAACACCGACAATGATTTCAGAGAGTGAAGTAAAGGGTACAAAGTTTCAAAAACATTGGATGCCGGTGCCGTTGGCAGGTAGTAGAATGTTCTCGCATGCAATCTTTTGCCTTGGGAAATTATTCTAAATCATTATCTCATGTTTGGTTGAGTATAAAGATATGCTAATCATACAAGATTTAGGACTGGAGTAGTAGTGTTTCAGTAAAATCTGAAAACAGGGTCTAACTGTCGGTTAAAACAGGTGATAAAGAGTAAGAGTTGGGATCCATTTTTCCATTTTAATCAAAAACATTTCTTTAGAAAAAGTTGTTTTTCTTTGAATTCGAGTAATGCATATACTGGAATATTGAGTACAATATTCCTCCATACCAAACACAACCTATCTGTTTGACAAGCACAATGACGTGATTATTACTTGACCAACGGACTGTCCACTGAATAAAGGATGGTCTACACAAAATAATACTAATTAATAAGTAACATATGTACAGTTGAGACTCGGTTTTTTTCTAACATTTATCATGATTGAAAGACCTAGTATCTAGCTGACAACCTTCTTTCCCCAGTGAGTGCCATGGCATTGCTCGTAACTTCCATTTCACAACAAAATAAACAATCCATGACAAGCCTATTTTTCCAAGCAAAACCTATTTTTCTCAAATTTTAGCTCTTCTTTAAGCTTACACCTTGGGATTCCACTGGCATTTAGGATCAGCATTTTACAATTTCAGCGGCCTACTAGGGGCAGAGCTAGAAGCCCAGCTACGGGCCAGTAGCTTTTGCTCAAAACAGTGTATTTGTGTTAAGAAATTTATTAAATATATACAAATATTAACTTTAGAACCCAGTTATTAACACTTGAAGTCATTTTTATCCAAAACCAATAAAGTTGAAATCTAGCTTCAGCTTCTTTCCTTCTAAACAATACTACATAATAGACCAAAATGAATAGGAAAATCTAAAGCAAAGAAAATAATACCAAAAATATAAGTATAAATAACAAAACGAAGCGACTTTAATTATATGGTTAAAAGAACAATTCAGAAAGGGGGAAAGAGCGAAAAGACATAAGCGAGATTGGAGGGTAACCTCATAGGGGTTAGTTTGAACTAGAGGTCGTCCAAGGCGCTTAGCAATTTCCTTCTTGTGCTCGAGAGCCTTCTTGGACGCATGTCGGTTCGGGTCAAGTTGTCGGAGCCCCACAAACAAAACGAGGCTGCTCAGAGCAGCACTTGCCGCATACAGAACCAATTCTTGCAACAACTTCGTCTCCCATGAACCGCGCCTCATCTTAGCCTCAGAGGTTTCTCAATTTGATTCACAGAAATACAATTGCATTTCAATGGGGGTAAAGTACCGGGTGTCAATCAATATTTAAAAACATAATAAACCACCAGGTTTCTATTAATAAAATCATATTTTTTTAATATATAAATCTATAATTGTACCGATAATTAAGATATTTTTTTTTATTCTATAAAAATAAATCAAAAAATATATCGAACCGTACTAATTAATTTACATTAAAAAAATATATTTATATATTAAGTTTAAAAATAACAAAGCATTAATATTTTTCTTGGGCCTTAAAATTATAAAAATGATTACAAGTCAATAGGTAATTAAACTCAAAATCCTTATTACAAAACCTATTATACTACTACTGAAACTAAATTATTTTAAGCAAATTCACTAGCAAGACATAAGGTATTCTACCGATTATTAGTAGCAAACTACAATGTATTGAATATTTTTTCTTTGGCATGATTTAAATTTAAATTTTAGAATATTTAATCTTCTATAGACATTATTCTTGAGTCCCAACTTACTTAGTATCTTTCCACTCATGTGATTTATATTTTCTTAGTCTTTACTTAGTTTCTTTTACGTCGTTGTATAATAGTTGATGGATCTCTACTCTGGTCATCTTCTTAATTCATCACCCTTTAAATAGTAAAAATATTTAGAGAGTTTTGCTAAGTTCTATAAAAGTACGTATATTATTGCATTCTGCTTCTACTACTGACTTTTAAATGACATTTAAAAAAATAACGAAAATTAACCGAACCGTACCGATAATGTCACGACCCAAAATCCCACTAGTCATGATGGCACCTAACCCAACCCGTTAGGTAAGCCAATTTCCATCTATCCAATTCCAATAAAATTAATTAAAAGAAAATATCTAAAACTAATACATCTCCCCAAGAACTGGTAGTACAAATCATGAGTTTCTAAAAATGGAGTGTACAAAGCGGAAATGAAATAAATACATAGTCTGTTTGAATAATATATAAACGGAGCTTTTATAAATCTAAGGCTACCCTGAACAAGAGGCAGCTACAACAGGGACGCAGGTACATCTTCAGATCCCGCAACCATCGAGCACAGCAACAACGACAGCCAATATCTGCATGCAATGTGCAGAAGTGTAGTATCAGTACAACCTACCCCATGTACTAAGTAAGTAACAAACCTAGCCGTAGGTTGAAAGCAGTGACGAGCTTCTACCAAAGTCGGGTCCAAAATCACTAGTCCACAACAGTCCATAATAACATAAAGCAAATAGTACCAGAAGAAACACAGAGATAAAAATGCTCAGCCGAAACATGATTTCAAAAATAATAGTTCTTCCTTTCAAATACATTAGTGAAAACCCAAATCGTTTGCCGAAATTGCCAAAAATATGAATAATTTGAAAACAATAATTCTTCCAAAAATCATTTCAATAGTAAATAAAATATCTCATTTTTTTTCCTAGATAACCAGCGTAAAGCAAATGTGTCACTATGCCCATCTGTCAACATGTGTGAAAAATCATGAATAATGTGATACCGTATAGCATGAGGAAAACACATCTCTATGCATATATGTTATGTGTGCATGTCAATGCAATGTATCTCAGAGATTGCACTCATGTACTCACATTCTCAGAGTATTCAGTCTCATTGTCTCGCATTCTCTCTCACTGTGCTCACCACACTCAATCACTCAGCGTTATACAATACATGCTGCAGCGTGCAGCTCGATCCCTATTTATAGTCGACTGCGCTCACTGGGGGTGTACAGACTCATGAGGGGCTCCTACAACCCAAGCACTATAAGCACGGACAACTCACGTGCTATAATATCATATATGGATCTGCACGGATAACTCACGTGCTGCATGGACAACTCACGTGATATAATAATATCTGGATCCGCACGAGCAGCTCACGTGCAATAGTATAATATATAGATCTGCACGGCCAACTCACGTGTAATAGTATAATATATAGATCCGCACGGTCAACTCACGTGAAATAGTATAATATATATAAAGCCAACATGGCCTGCTGCGGCGTGCAACTCGATCCCAAAAATATCCTCACATCAGGCCCTCGGCCTCCCTCAGTCATCAATCTCTCCGGTCTCTTTTTCATGGGCTCACAATGTCATGAGAATAGCCAAAAAATGATGATATGATGTATCAATAAATTACAACAGAGACTGAGACATGATATGCAATGAAATGAATATGACTGAGTATAAATTTTTATTTTAAAATAAATATTTCACAATAATATGACCTCTGTGGGTCCCAATAATACTAGCACATAGCCTCAACATGATTTGTAATATGCTTTTCAACTCAATTTCTTTAACTCATAAAATCGCATGAAAAATGCCAAGATCATTTAACTACAAACTTTCACATAAAAAATTATGTCACAATTTCTATAGTGCACGCCCACACGTCCGTCACCTAGCATGTGCGTCACCTCCCAACAATTCATGAAATACATATATTCAGTGTTCATACCCTCAACTCCAAGACTAGAAGAGTTACTTACCTCGAACAAGCCAAATCCAATGCCGAACAAGTTAAACAATGCTTCAGAAATCCCATTATGCGCGTATCAACTTCCAAACGGCTCGAATCTAGTCAAAATAATTTGATTCAACCCGCAAAAATTATAGGAATTAATTCCATATCAAAATACTAATATTTTCCAAAAATCCGAATCTGCGCCCCAAAAATCACCCGCGGGACCCACGTCTCGGAATCCGGTAAAAATTATAAAATCCGAACCCCCATTCAACCACGAGTCCAACCATACCAAAATTACTCAAATCCGACCACAACTCGGCCTTCAAATCCTCAATTTAAACTAAAAGGGTTTTCAAACTTTTCCAACTTAATTCATCAATTAAATGATAAAAACAACCATGGATTCGGGTAATTTAACCAATGTTGAGTTAAGAACACTTACCCCGTTGTTTCCTATGAAAATCGCCTAAAGATCGCCTCAATCCGAGCTCCAAATCGTTAAAAATGGTCTGAACTTAAACTTTCTGTCCAGGCCTCTCTTCTTCGCGAACGCGATAGGTCCCTCGCATTCGCAAAGCACAACTCGACTGCCCACAAATTTAACTCTTCGCGAATGCGACCGTGGCTTCGCGAACGCGAAACTTTGCAAATCTTACCCTTCGCGAAAGCGACACCTCTCACGCGTTCGCGATGCACACACAGACTATACCTTCGCGTTCGCGTCCTCCCCTTCGCAAACGCGAAGAACAAAACCTCACACTCAGAAAACACTCTTCGCAAACGCGAAAGAGAAAATCAGAAAAATGCAGCAACATATGTCAGCAATCTCACCAAGGCCAAAAATGATTCGTTAACCCCCCGAAACTTACCCGAGCCCCTCGGGACCTCAACCAAATATACCGACAAGTCCTAAAACATCATACGTACCTAGTCAAACCCTCAAATCACCTCATACAATGCTAAAACCATGAATTACACCCCAATTCAAGCCTAATGAACTTTGAAATTTCTAGTTTCTACAAACGACTTCAGAACCTATCAATTCACGTCCGATTGACCTCAAATTTTGCACACAAGTCATAAATGACATAACGGAGGTATTTAAATTTTCAGAATCGGATTCCGACCCCGATATCAAAAAGTCAACCCCCCTGTCAAACTTTCCAAAAATTTAATTTTCGGCATTTCAAGCCTAATTCTACTACGGACCTCCAAATAATTTTTTGGATACGCTCCCAAATCCAAAATCACCATACAGAGCTATTGGAATCATCCGAATTAAATTTCGAAGTCGTTTACACATAAGTCGACATCTGGTCACTATTTTAACTTAAGCTTTAAACATTGGAACTAAGTATTCTAATTCATTCCAAAACCTTATCGGACCCAAATCAATTGCCTCGGCAAGTCACACAACAACTATAAAGCCTAATTTGAGCAGTAAATGGGGAAATGGGATTGTAGTACTCAAAACGACCGGTTGGGTCGTTACAGATACCGAAGATAAACCGACATGATTGGTACGGTTTCTAAAAGTCTAATTTTGGTTATACATAATAGAATAACCGAAAAATTTGTATGGTACAAATTTTATAAAATAACCGGCCGAACCGAACCATTGACACCCCTAGGGTAAAGCCTTTTGGGTTTGCCCAATAAGAAACTGTCTGAACCGCCAAGATAACGGAAACGAGCTTGATTTACGTAAATAACCTTTCCTGCCAATTTATGCTAGTCTTTGAAAATAGATTTGATTGAAACTTGAAAAAAGAGTTTTTGAAATTGTGTTGAAAAATAATTTTTGAAAGTTGAAGTTGTGTTTGGATATGTATTTTATTTGAAGAAAATTTGAAGTTTTGTGAGTGAAAGAAAAAAATTTCACTCGAAAATTACCCTAAAGTAGTTTTTGAGAACTTGAAAATTTTTGAATTTTTTTTTATAAAAAAATGAACCAAAATCTATGACCAAACGGGAGTTATATGTCACCGAGGGCAATACTTAGTTCGAAATCAAAAGCCTAACACTCAATGCATTTGGGCTCTGTCGCGGCCTTGGGCTGGAAAAAAAAAAATGGACTCTTTATAAGAGACTTTTACCTAGTCAAACTATATTATAAACTTACTTTACTATTTAACTTAATTAGCAAAATACAGTTAAATTTAGTAAAATAGTTTATAATATAGTATATATATATATATATATATATATATATAAAAAATAGGTTTTTATTATGTATAGTCGTCCACTCAAAAAGTCAATTTATGTATATTGGTTAGCAAATTATATTTTTGACGAGTGAATAAATATATAACTTTCCATTTGTTTCCTTCGCAAACGTGCATAATTTTGAAAGCAAAATACATATTCCCTCCGTTCACTGTTACTTATCCACAATAGATTTTGCACGCCCTTTAAAAAATAATAAATAGAATACATATTTTATAATAATATCCATAATAATAATAGCATTTCAAAAGGTCTTCAAAAATGATGAATGGAATTAGTCGTTAATGACAAGGGTAAACAAAAAGAAAAAAATA